GCATCAGATTCCATGAAGTGACCATGATACGTCAGTGGTGAATCGCCGCAGCTAACGATGCCATGCGAATGACCATGACACCAATCCATGATGAGCGAATGGTGAATCGCCGTAGCCAACGATGCCATGCGAACGACCATGGCACCAATCCATGATGAGCGAATGGTGAATCGCCGTAGCCAACGATGCCATGCGAACGACCATGGCACCAATCCATGATGAGCGGATGGTGAATCGCCGTAGCCAACGATTCCATGCGACGACCATGGCACCAATCCATGATGAGCGGATGGTGAATCGCCGTAGCCAACGATTCCATGCGAATAACCATGACACCAATCCATGATGAGTGAACGATGAATGGTGCAGGGCTGAAGTCCCCCGGGCGGGGACGATGATCACAGCCGACGTAAACGAACACCGGCTAATGCATCTAAGCGTGGCGACGTTCCCCGACGGCACCGCGTCCTCTCGCCCAGATGAGTGATGCACTCGCGCAGGCTATTTTTACGTGCAACATGCGTCATATGCGCATCGTCGCATGAACAACACGCCTCAACAAGAGGCGAACTATTTTAATGACACGCATGTAGTCTGAACCTCGAGTTTGCGCAGGAAACGATGTCGATGGCATGTTTCGAATGTAAAACGTCTCGAGTGACCAGACGATGAATCGAGCGTATTACCTACCAGCACGTCCATACGTACTAGACCAAGGGACGGCCGCTGTCGTCCTGAGGTGCAGGCTGAGCTTATGACCGAGCTGTCGGTTGCAGGTCCGAGCGAAAACCTATGGTAATGCTAGTGCTTGAGTGACGGGACCATGCGCCGGTAGTGCCTTTTTCGTTGCTTTTTTGCTTCGAAGCCTGTGTTACGGGGTACTCCTTGAACTGTCTCGACTTGGTAAGCCAGGAACTTTTTCATCGAAGCTTTGAGGGCGTTAAGGGTGAGGCAAGCATTATGGGCCCATACAACTCACGCCCAGCTTGAGAGTTTGGAGCATGACACCCACACAGGGCATTTAGCTGAGCAGATTATGAACCTCTGTCAATTCCTCGGCAGTTTGGGCCGTTTATTTCATCGGCTCTACTATTGCAACTTGGTGTGGAATATGCATGCAATTGCAGGCTGCGGAACTTTCATAGTTTGTGGAGGTTGTATATATTACTGGCCCTAATTTTACATACACTGAATGACACAACTTGCGCATGCTGCATCAATCTGCATATATTGCGATGAAGGCCAACGACGCAGACGGCATGCAGTAAAGGTCTCTGGATCACACCACTTGCACGCTTCATGGGGCCAAACTTCGTCAATCTGTCGCAAAATCAAGATGAAAAAGGCAGACTTTTATGCATTGGTGCCTTTTTAAGGGTTCGAGCGTTTTGATTTAACCAATAAAAAGGACGCTCAAACCTAGCCGGACATCTTCGATCTAATACTGCCTGGCACGACAGTTTCAGGCTAAACAAAGCTTGGAATCGGCGAACTGAGCCCAGATATCTCAAAGGTAAAGCAACACAAATCATCAGTAATCTTCAAAACAAAGGCAACGTAATACAAATTTTGAATACGAATCACACAAATGCCACACGCGTGCCATGCGCCCAAGCCTGCGAAGTCCACAGAAATAAATGAAATGACCCAATGCATGTGAGACATTGGATGCACGATCGCATGTCACGCAGCGGGGCTAAAGCGCCCACATTAAAAGCATGATCACAAATGTATTGCAAAATTTGCAGCTGGCGTCCAGTCAGGGCAATCCAACGTACGTAAGACAACATTAAGCTCAGTCTGTCCCGGCAGAAAATCCTGGCGGCACGGCCGTTTATGAGCACACACTCCGGTTAGCGCCTGTTGTTGAGCACCCACTACAGTTCGCGCCTGTTGCGAAGCACCTATTACGGTTCACACCTGTTCTTAAGCACCCACTCGGGTTCGCGCCTGCTTCTGAGCACCACTTCAGTTCGCGTGTCCCTGAGCGCTCACTCCGGTCGCGTCCGTTCTTGAGCACTCACTGCAGTTCGCGCCTGTTGCTGAGCACCCACTACGGTTCGCGCCTGTTGCGAAGCACCTACTAGGGTTTGCGCCTGTCCTTAAGCACCCACTCAGGTTCGCGCCTGCTTCTGAGCACCCACGCCGATTCGCATCTGTTCCTGAGCATCTACCCCGGTTCGCGCTTGCTCCGAAACACCCACTCCGGTTCGTGCCTGTTCCGAGGCACCCTCTCCGGTTCTCGCCTGTTCCGAAGCACCCACTCCGGTTCTGCGATCAGCCAGCTGGGTTCGTGGCGAGTTTGGCGCGTTGTTTTGCAGCACTTCTTCCACCGGGTTCTGATGGGTGATCATCCCTCAGCGCGAGGAGCACCGCCGACATGAATCACACATCCGTTTGGTCGGCTCTCAGGTCAAGGGTTCAGTCGCAGGCTCACCCGAGTGCTTACCTTCGGAGGAGATAGCAGCAGACAGTTCTAACACTCAGTGCTGAGGGCTCGAAGCTGTCGAGTCAGACAGGAGATAGCAGCAGACAGTTCTAACACTCAGTGCTGAGCGGCTCGAATCTGTCGAGTCACACAGGAGATAGCAGCAGACAGTCCTAACACTCAGTGCTGAGCGACTCGCAGCTGTCGAGTCACACGGGAGATAGCAGCAGACAGTTCTAACACTCAGTGCTGAGCGGCTCGAAGCTGTCGAGTCACACAGGAGGTAGCAGCAGACAGTCTTAACACTCAGTGCTGAGCGACTCGCAGCTGTCGAGTCACACAGAAGATAGCAGCAGACGGCTCTAACACTCAGTGCTAAGCGGCTCGAAGTTGTCGAGTCACACAAGAGATACCGGCAGACAGTTCTAACACTCAGTGCTGAGCGGCTCGGAGTTGTCGAGTCACACAGGAGATAGCAGCAGACAGTTCTAACACTCAGTGCCAAGCGGCTTGAAGCTGTCGAGTCACACAGGAGATAGCAGCAGACGGTTCTAACAGTGCTGAGCGGCTCGAAGCTGTCGAGTCACACAGGAGATATCAGCAGACAGTTCTAACACTCAGTGCTGAGCGGCTCAAAGCTGCCGAGTCACACAGGAGATAGCAGCACAGTCTTAACACTCAGTGCTGAGCGGCTCGCAGCTGTCGAGTCGGTTAACAGGATGCTGGTTAAGCAAACCGAAGACGATTTTGTCTGTCCGTTTCTCAGCACCTCATTTATCCGTGACTTTTCAGACGTGTGAGCCTGTAGTGACCTTACCTGTTCCCCATAACCCGCCTGACGTGGCGACACGTGCGACCCAGCCACGTGACCGCTCAGGAACGCGGCCCGGAGCCAGCGAATACGAGCCGGTCCGTTCAGGTACGTGGAATATAGCCCAGGAATGCGTGTCGAAGGGTTCGAAAACGTTGGGTGGAGGCCGATGCAGCGATATGGCGGCTTATGAAGCAGCGTAACGCCCTGATAGAAAATGTGCTTGACGCATGGTCTTATATTAAACATGGCTACAACTTAGCGCTGGCGCGCCGGATGAATTTTGCGCGGCTGTTGGCCATTGCCATCATACAACCATCCATACTCTGAATCCGTAGGCATCGATGACACTAGCATTCATATGTTTTCATAGTTCGTTGTCGTAACACAGCAAGAACGTCCGGCTTAAGTTCAGGGTGTTTTCTTTACTGAGTGCGTCCTCCACATGGTTTATATTGAGGATAATGCATCCCTATACTTCTGCCCAAATATTTATCACACAAAGGCGCAAGTTCCCTCAGACCACATCCCTGTTTTCTTTCACGACATATTACGCTAACGCCATAAAGGATTCGCAGATACCCGATCATGACATTGTTTTCTCAGAAGTCCCTCACGACAGCGGCTGCTTCCATCGTCGCCGTTACCCTAAAAAAAAAACACACGAAAGTTCGGGCAACTGAGGACCATCAGCAGTGCGGGATACGGGCTTGGCAGCGATAATTTTGACTGTACCGCACTCTCGCTGTTCCGAGAAGATCCGCAGGCCGGCTCCAGGCCCTAGACTAGCGGCAGCCACGGCGGCCGTCTGGGCAACATGAGTCTGGCAGCGGTCGCAACAGCCGCCAGGACACAGTGGATCTGACAGCGGTCACAACAGCCGACAGGACACAGTGGGTCTGGCAGCGGTCACAACAGCCGCCAGGACACGGTGGGTCTGACAGCAATCACAACAGCCGCCAGGACACAGTATGTCTAGCAGCGGTCACAGCCGCCAGGAAACACAGTGGTCTGGCAGCGCTCACAACAGCCGACAGGACACAGTGGTCTGGCAGCAGTCACAACAGCCGACAGGACACAGTGGTCTGACAGCGTTCCCAGGAGTCAGGACACGACAGGCAGCACGAGATAGGCCGCTGCCGGCAGTATGCGCCGCGGCTGCGGGCCCAGAGCGGGCGCAGGGCGGCCCAGTGGTGTACGGCCTCTGCCAGGGTCACGCCCACCGCCGTCACGGGGCCACCGCCGCGCGGAGCGGCCCTCCGCTCAGGTCACGCCGCTCGGCCGGCGGGGGAAGGAAGCGCTCTGACAACGGACGGTCTTGGCCTGGATCAACTTCTCACGAAGCGCTGACAAAAGCTATGTTTATCAACGCCCTCCTGCAGTGAACGTCCACTGATACAATGTCTCGGTGCGCCGGAGTCATGTTTCCCTCCGTTCTGAGATAGCGACCATGGCGCCACTCCCGGACCTGAGCCCTGTCAGGTCACGAGGTCTGTAGATCACCTGAGCCCTGTCAGGTCACGAGGTCAATAGATCACCTGAGCCCTGTCAGGTCACCAGGTCAACGGATCACCTGAGCTCTGTCAGGTCACCAGGTCAATGGATCACCTGAGCCCTGTCAGGTCACCAGGTCAGTAGATCACCTGAGCTCTGTCAGGTCACCAGGTCAATAGATCATACGAGAAGCAACGACTTTCGCCTCGCGTGGACAACCTTGTATGTCCGACACCCCCTCACCGCCCCTCCCAGAAAATAACTGAATGGGCATCATTGTATATTTGTCTCCACGACGGTTCGGCTACTATTTACACAGACACACGGAGGAGTAGGCCGTCTCGGCGCCGGCGCCGGGTGCCGTCCTCAGAGGTCAGGCCGCACCTTGAAGCCAGGTCCGTACGGCTCGGAGGTCAGCGAGGTCAGCCCGCCGGCCGGCTCGCACGCGAAGCGGCCGCCCCTGGAACACAGCGGCGCCCAGGTGAGCCCATGCAGGTCAGGTCAAAACGCAGCTCACTGACTAGCCACAGTAGAATGCCGCTCCTGAAACCAAACCGGGTCAAACACCGCTCACTGACCAGCCACAGTAGAATGCTGCTCCTGAAACCAACCCGGGTCAAACACAGCTCACTGACCAGCCACAGTAGAATGCTGCTCCTGAAACCAGCCCGGGCCAGCGATACCGTTCCGACAATAGCTACGGACTGCTGGCATACGGCAGCCGGTGATCGAAAGCCACCGACAGCGTCAGGAGCCGCACAGGCGACGTTCCTAAAATACGCTTCTTTGAAACATTAAAAATAGTACAGCTGCAACACTCACGCACAATAGCAATGTCAAGCTTCCGCAAACACTGCAAAATGTTTGCCAGACCGCAAGACACGCCGTTCCCAGCAGGGCTTTAGTCGACGTGCGAGATGGCCACGACACGCCGCATAGAAGCTATCGAACAGCTAGAGGTGGTTTCCAACCTTTCAACAATAGACAACATAACTGCCAAACGTGCAACATTTAACTGCACCCGTACAAATTGTCGACTTGGATTTAGCCAAATGTCTTTTTGCCGAATGCCTTCAGTCGAAAGTGTTCTTGTTGACGTGTCTTTTTGCCGCCTTGCCAATAAGGCGAAATGCTAAAAGTCAGACGGCAATTTACCGACATGCTTTTTTGCCAACGTGTCAAACTGACGAAAGGTTCACAAGCCAAAACGCGTAATTACGCGAATTCCAACTCCTAAAAATTTATTTGTTAATGACTTGAAGTTCGTGTCAAAGTGACGAAAGGTTCACGAGCCAAAATGTGTTATTACAGAATTCCAACTTCCAAAATGTCCTTTGTTAATTATTTAAGTTAATTCAATCGAATGTTAATTAGCCGATATTACTGAGTCCAAATGCTAATAAGGCCAAATGTTTGCAGTACAACGCGCAAATCATCAAAACGTATTCTGATGCAAGGCTAATTTGCTGACATGCACTTTAGTTCAATGACAATAAGCCTGAATGTTCTTGAGTCAATGTCATGCGTCGAGCCGTTGTATGTGGGTTGTAGACAGAGGCCCCTTTACCCTCGCCCTGAGGATGGTGTTCAACGTCACCCTAAGGGATGATGCCTCCGCCGCTCCGCTCAACCCTCGCCCTGAGGATGGTATTCACCGTCGCTCTACGGGGTGATGCCTCTGTCGCTCCGCTCAACCCTCGCACTGCGGATATTGTTCACCGTCGCTCTACGGGGTGATGCCTCTGCCGCTCCCTCTGAGGTCTCGAAAATCAAGTAAGGTAGTGCCGCGGAAAAAAACGACAACGAAAGCTCCGTCAAACCGTATAGCATAGATATGACCGAACGATGGCATGACCGGCCAATATGACCTTTGACAGGTTAACTCAGGGTCACCCCACATTACTGCAAGAAATAAGCATGATACGACAGTGCAGAAAGCGGTGTTGAATAGCTCTTAAAAACTTATATCGGAAAGGCTCTGTCGCATTGAGGGATGACCTTCCGCGCAACACTCGACAGTTGCCAGCAGTTGCCGTGATAATGGTCTTCAGTCAACAGACAAGTCGTCGTACAGAGCAATGCCAACGCTTAATCCTGTACCTCCGGACTCGTACACGCGCTGGGGAGAGCGGGTTCGTCCGCCTAGGCTTAACCCGCACAAGGATACAACCCGGATACAACCCGGATACAACCTTAACCCGGATACAAGGAATGTCGTGAGGATGTAGGACGCAGCAAGGATGAGGCTACCCGCAGGGCATACAGTATGTAGGATATTCCTATATGGATAGAGCGGATGGCCTCACAAGGGCAGCTCTGCGCGACCCTGTCCCTGACAGCCGGGGTAGACTTCCAGGTTAAGGTGGTTTGGCCTCCTCGAAAGCTTCACGAATGGGTAAGCGGAAGCTATTGTACAGTAAGCTTATCAAGCATGAAGCTGCCCGACGTAAGCGCAGAGCAAATGAGTCGTAAATTTCATGCAACACATAACACGGCGCGACCATGTTTACCATTGTT